TACAGCTTTTGTCAATGAGTAATACCGTTTAAAATAAACAACGACGCAAGAGGCATTTTAACCGCACGCACCGCCTCACAACGGTTGTATATATTTATCATTTTGATACAATAGAAAAGGCTATAATATGACAAACACTCTTTGAACTAATCCCGTTATTTTAAGACATTCACAACTATATACCTATACCGATATACATCTTCTTCTGCTGCTGTTGCAGTAAAGTGATTTGCACCACTGTAAAAGTATGCATTTAAAAATTATACTGTACCCAGTCACACTATACAGTATACCAACAATAACTTGGTTAGTTGATTACCTACATAAATATTTAATATTGTTTTAAGTGATACCTTGTTTAATTGATATTAATGTTATTCTTTGGCATTAGTGATAAATTAATGATAAATAAAATATAAATAGTTAATTTAATGTAAGTATCCAGAAAAAGTGAACGTAGAGGTGGTTGGGGCAGTTGTGCATAATTTTATCTAGATAATTATTTGAATAAATATATATTCAATAAATTTTTTTATAACTATTTAAATAATTTAAAAAATTGTCATTTGAATAATTTTCATATATAATTCTGTAATACACAAAATATGAATTATAGAATGATTATAATTCTTTTAGAAGTCTACATTTATGAAGTATGTACCTCAGTAATAGATAATTATGTAGCAACGTTGAAGTCCGAAGACATCATTATTGTGCCTAGTACAGAGATAAGAACAAAGTTTTATCTAGATAATTATTCCAATGGTAATATATTTGAGTAATTTTTTATACGATTAATTGTGAAAAAATCATCCAAATGATAATTTAATCGGATAAAATTTTATCTAAGTACAATTTCATTCGAATCATGCCCTACTATCTGGTTGAGGGACAGGTACTCCACCGTTGTTATCGTCAATTATCATTTTTAAATTGTAGATTATATATTTATATGCTACGATCAAGTATAAAATAATATTTTGAAGAATGAATGTATTATATTACATTTTTTAAATGGTCATCACGTTTTTCAATTTTTGTTCATGTAATTGCTGTTATGAAAATACATTTTTGGAGACAAATATTGTGTTAAGTAGGTATTATACCGATTATAAAATTGAGTAACCATTGAAGTAATATATTACCGATCTAGATAACTGTGATTTTAGTCTATTGAATTATTTGAATTTCGATGAGATAACCCACCTCGAGTACCAGATAATTATTTGTCAAATACCTACTCGGTTTCGTGTGATAAGAAATAATTTATTTCCGAATTTTGGTTAAAAATTGACAATATTGAATTTGAAAGAGAAAAACTTTTTTAATGTTTCCGGTTGCATTGTAGTCATTTAAGTCATTGGACTATGATTAATTTGAATTAGAATATTAATAACTTTAAGTAAATATAATCTATTATTTTGGGAATAATAATAACGGTAGGCGGTACTTGAAAATCCATGACCAAAAGAAATCATTGTTTAAAATTTAAATTATTATATTATTGCAATAATTATTGTTAAGTGTTTAAAAGATAAGATACATAGAATATAGATAATATTTATATATTTATTATTTTGGTAGTGGTGTCGTGACCTGCTGATATGAATATCTTATAGGTACATAATACATCAGTTATTATATATATATATATATAAAAAAAATGTAAATATAAACGCGTATCAGTTAGCAATAACTAGGTATTTATTGACGAAGTATCTACCTCCATTGGGAGGTCTCTTTACTCTATATTTCCTACGAATAATACATAATTATATCAATTAAGCTTATTGTTAAATTATTGTTAACAAATTGTCTAATAAAAAAAAAAAAGATGTTAAAAAAAATATAGGTATATATTTATTAGTTAAATAATAGCTTAACAAAAAATATTTATTTATATTTTCCCAGTTCAATAAAATCAAAAAAAATTAAGCTTATTACTAATTTAATTTTAGAATTCAATAAGAAACCTAAACACTAAAAATCAACTTCTCTTATTAGTAATTACATACAAATCATTATTAATTTAGATTTTAATGATTTTTTTTTTATAGGTCAACAAAATCTGAATTGTACTCAAATTTATAGTTCAATACCTGATGTCCTAGATATGTACTACCTATTACTTATTGTATAGACTGAAGATGATCGTGCTCTGTCATTTACAAATGTAGTACCTAATTGTACAAAGATGTATTTTTAAGTTAATACTGTTTTACAGTCGCTTCACACGAACTAAACACTGCAATAATAATATTGTCAAACACTATGGTAACGAGAATTCTAGGTGGTAAATGTAGATCTCCACAATTAAGACATGAAAATCACTAATCAACTGGAACGATAACTTTCCAAACACCGTCAGACGTCAGTAGTACAATAAGTGCAGAGGGGTGCCAAGAGCTCTAAAGTCCCCTCTTTAAAATTATTTTTGGATTTTTAGTCTTTAATTTCTATTGGTTGTAACATTGGTAACATGACTATTAAACCATTTAGTTAAGTTGAGAAAAAATTATTTTGATGATAAACCAGATTTTAATTTTGTGGTAGATACGACTTTTCGAGTAAAAGTACATGTTTAGGAGGATTCTACACCCGTGTATTTGTTGTCTCCGTTTTACAAGTGCATAACTTGAAAAATTTACGCTTAGCAGCTTACGTTTAGCTTTGATATTAGAATGAATCAGCTATTATTAAACTTAATGGTAAGAAGTTAATCTGTGCTTGTATATAGGTTATTTACGATAATTTCTTTTTAAGCGAGTTATAAGTATTTTTTAACTGCACATTTTTTATATCCACATAAAACTCGATAAAAAGTTAAATTATCGTAAAAGACTTTAATATTAACACCAATAAAATTCTTTCTATTAGATTTCAATAACATATACCTAGATGTTTCTTTTTTAAATCCGGATAAATAATTTATTCTATAACTTTTTTATTAATTTTGTTTGAAATTTTAGACAACATTTTTAATATTATTCGTAATAATTTTACAGTAATACATTTTAGTCAAAGTGTACGCTCGAAATTATGTATATATATAATATCATATTAATTATTTTATTTTTTTTTATACTTTTAGAAGTGTATTTAGCTAGTATAGCTAAGTTTACCTACTTACTAGTTACCAAGTTGATTCAATTTTAGTGTTATACAATAAATATTAAAATTTTTTTTTTATTTTTCACGTAAAAAGACGTAGTTGCTTTCCCATAACCCATAATAAAAAATCCTGACTTCCTGGCTACGACGTTACTGAATGAATAATACGGTTTGCACGTTGCACGAGGACACGACGTGCGTCATGAAAAAGTACAAATAAGCGTAAGCGAATTAGGACGTGTAAGACCTGCAATCAGGTCTACTACAATAAAATGGGCGAGATTATAATAGCGAGTACGAGAGAGAGCATATTATAAAAGGGGAGAGGAGAACGCAACGCGCAGCAGACGGAAAAAAATCAATACGATATTTCGCGGCGGTCCATCCAAGGCGACAACGCCGACAACCGCCGCGGTCGCTTTCACCGGGTTATTTTTTCCCATTATTAGTATTGTTTAATATTTTATTTTTTATTTGTCACAATCGTCGGTGCCACAAGCGATTACCAAAAAAATAAATATATGTTGTTTTAATGAAAACAAAAACAAACGGCGAGTCGGCAGAGAACGAAGTCACAACTCTGCCAGTCGTCGCGAACGATCATATTAATGTTCCGAGGATGATTCATTTGACGGGCCCCTCCTTCGTGCGCACGATATTTTTATTATTATCTCCCCCTTTACGAGCGTACGCAGTGTATCGGCCCTTTTACGCGCGTGCATTTATATTTATAAACAAGATTTTCTCCGAGTAGGCCCATCCGAATATAATAATATATTATCGTCGTTGTCCGCGCGGAAATAAAAACAAAATTTTCCAAGGCACCGCGACGATTTCGTCGTGACATCAATTATATATATTATTAAATTGGTCATCAACCATTTGTAGTATTTTATACACTACTTCACCGCGATGTCATTTTCATTCGTCTAAAATGAATTTTGTTCTATGGTCATTCGCTGCGTGTGTGGGAAGTGCTCTTATTTTAGAAACACATAATTTGAGACTACGAAGACGGCACGGGTCTCGTCCTCTTGTCGTTCCATTTAAAGGCTCCGACGAACCGGCACCGGCGCCCAAGTTGGTAGCACTGCCGGAGCATCCATCACCATATCAGTTTTAGTAGTAGTGTTATCTACGCGTCTGTTCCGCTGCCGCATCCATCCTATAATCATTCACTATGGCGGTAGTTTTTTCTCACTCAGACTCGGACACTTTCTAATCACTTTTTCTCTCTCTCTCTCTTCCGCTCGCCAACCAACAAAAAGAGACGGCGGAACGGCGAAAAAACCAAATAAAATTAGCCAACCGTACGTGTGTGTGCATCGGTTGGATTGAATGAATAAACGCTGATAATAAACTAAGAAATGGGAGAAAGAAAAAATAAACTTAAGAAGTCGAACCGTTCAGACTCCAAAGTTCAAGTTCAACACACAAAAGGAAAGATATAATACAGCATAATATTAATGTTGTGCGATGAGATTTGTTTTATTCACGAATCGTACACACACAGACACACTTAAGACGCGTATCGTGGAAAGTGATACGAAATAAATAATGGAATTATAAATAATATTAAAGAAAAAACAAACAAAATAAAGTAGAGAGCATCAAGTTTGAAATACGTATAATTTTTCGATGAGAAATTAAACACGCATGCATTAAAATACTTAAATAATATATAGGTATAAAATAAATGCTCCTACGGGAACATATCGCTTTATAACAATGTATATGATTATTAGAATTTTATTGAAATGTTAGTATGTTTTTGAATTTATAAAAATTTTTTTTTATTTTGTAATAATAAAAGATTACGTTGTGGAAGTACTAATATTATATATATTTTTTTTTATATTTATTTTATTTAATACCAAAACGTAAAGACGAAAACTTTGTTTTATAAATATACATATTATCATATGCGTATTGTTGTATATAAATTGTTTGTTGAATTATTTTTACTGTCTGTCGGTGGACCTGAGCTTCTCCTCGATGACTTCTTGGGAAGCTTCCGAATGGTCAGTAGCCTGGAACGCCTTGTGTACGCCAACCAGTGACTTCTTGAGCGCGTCGTAGCTGGATGAGTAGACCATCTTCTTCTTGACTTTAGCAGTGTCTGGGCACCAGCAAAGTAAAAAGAGCTTTTGCTTCTTTGAGCTCTCGGACGTACCCTGACACTGGTGAGTGTACTCGAAGTCAAACAGACCGTAACGGCATTCTTGCGGGCCGGCCTTTTGTAGGTCTTCTAGGAACGAGTCGTAAGTAGAGTTGCGCTCGCCGATCACTTCGATGTCGATCTGCTTCTCATCCTTGATGTGAAACACCACGTACCTGTGCTTCTTGTCCTTTTTGATCTCCTCGTAGACCTTTTTGCACGCATCCGCTACGGTTACTCCCGATGCCATTTCGGACCGATTTACGACTACAATTAGATTGTGCGTGTGCGCAATAAACGTTTACCGCTTCGACGGGCGAAAAACGGAATTAGGCGCGGATTTTAGCGGTAAATTACTCACACTCACGATCAGAGAGAATATGAATAAAACGCCCGACGTCCGCTGCAGAAAAGCACTTCGACAATTTGTTGTACTGCACAGCACAGTGTTGTACTACTACGGGCATTAGATTCTTACAATATGACTCAGCTCGACTCCGATTTAAGCACTCCCCAAGGAATATATAAGTTACGTTATCATGGAAGAGAAATCTAACGGACGCGCTACCGCACGATACCGTGCCTGTGTAGACACTGCTAACACATGATCAGCTGGCCGTAGCCCGTAATCAGACGCCGGTGATACTAAATACAAATCGCACGGCCAACTCTACTATCAGCACTATACTTCAAACTTCAAAGTTTGTATATTATCTTCTTAAGTTTGAAGTTTCTCGTAACTCGGAACTAGTCTTTAACTTAATTTTCAACGCGCAAAGTCTGGGTAGATGATTCAAACATTTATATTTATTTTGAAGCATCTACAAACATAAATACTGTTATTATTGTTTTTTGATTTTTCTGTATCATAATTCATTATTACAATACACGTATTACATGCAGCTATCTCAAATATGTAAAAATAATTTAAATATTTTTGAGAACATCATAATAATTTAAACAAATTGAATTAAATTATTGTTTTACATTGAACACGGAGATGTACCTATAACTGCAGCAGTATAAAAATTAATATATTTAAAATTTTATAAAAATGAAATTAAAATTTTACTAGAACTTAAAATGATATTTTAATAAGACCAACAGGTAGATAAACATATTTTATTTACGTTATTATTTAATGACAATGATTAGTTTAGATTTTCAGAACTTAAACTTAAGATGCGTAAAGAAAGTATGAAACAATAAGTATAATAGGACTACGATGATATCTACCTATTCATACAATATTCTTAAACTTAACAGTTCACAAAATTGAAAATATTCCGACTGTTGACTAATGATTCTTATTTCTTATAATAATTGTATTTGGTAGATATCAGTGCATAATACATAATAAAAAATACTAAAAAGTGTAAAACTAAAACAAAGAATATTATAATTACTATAATGGGTGGGTACTAATATATTAAAATTTGAGGCTAATGGATACAATTTTTTTGGAGGCCCTAATATGTCTGTAATCAAATTTACTAAATATTATAGTATTAATTGCTGTACAGTGGTCAATAAAAAAATTAATAAGGTATGCAAGTAAATCAATTAACTATATAATAATAATAATGATATTATTATGATTAGGTGTAATGAGAATAAAACATTTTCTGCTTCAATCCTGAGCTAAAGATGAACCAGTAATTGATAAATTCAATTATTTTATACTTTTTATAGCCATGATATGAACAGAGATCTATATAATATTACAATAAAGATATATGATTTTGTATACTAAAGTACAAAACGTCAAAACATCATCTATGAGTATGAATTATATACCTATTATCACTTGTGTAGATGTGTCGTTGTCGAGAAATGGTAAGAAAAAATCCAAAGGGAATATTTTGAAAAGTCTTAGTGGATACACTGCGCGGAAACGAACACGTTGTGCACGGTTGGTGACCTAAGCGCTAAGCGGTGATACGTAAACATAACTGTAATCCAAAATACGTACACGTCTCGCCAGTTCACCACTCGCCACTGACTTCTCGTATTGTATTGCATTATGCACAGGTTTTATAGTAAATTTATAGTAAACTAGTTTTTGAACGTTTTTTTTAAGTTTTAGTAAGAATATTTGACCTTTCGTCAACCGTTATTGTCTGAGTTAAATTTGTTTTTGAAAAAATGGTTAAAAAAGAGAAATCTGAACCTTTGTTCACCAAAGAAGAAGAACAACTGTTGTCTGATTTTAGTAGAAGTGTTACCACCAGGTCTTTAGCATTGTTCTATGGAAGTGCTTTCGTGGTCTCCTCATTGCCCATATGTAAGTACTACCTAACACCTAAGTACATTTAGTTACTATTTAACTACTTAATCAATTTATTCATCTAACCAAAATTACTTATTTGCAAAGGGCTCTATTGGAGAATACACATGATTGAAATGATGCCAGCTCTCGTTTGGTTCATTCTTGTCACTTTAGGCAGCACATACCTTATTTCATTTGCCTATAAAAACACTAAATTCATACTGAAACACAAGGTGTGTATTGGACTTTTTGTTTTTATGTAAAATTGTGTATGTTTAGTAATAAGTGTACATTATGCATTATGATTGTTTAGATAGCAATCAAAAGGGAAGAAGCAGTAACCAGAGAAATTGCTAGAAAATATGCTGATGACAAGAAAATTAGTAAAAAAGAAAAGGATGAAAAGTAAATATATGATTAATTTAATATTTCATTAAAATGCTTTCGGTTATTATTTTATTTTTTTTAAATAAGTTTATACTTATAATGCACTAAATTTCACATGTAATAATTTTGCTAAACAATTGATAACTACATTAAGTTACATTAATTTACATTTGTTTTAAATTTATATTATAATTATAAATTAAAGATTCTGCTTTTAAATTGTTTAATAGATTAATATATTATATTGTTTAAAATTATTTTGATTTAGATTGATTGCATTGCTAAATTATAAGTAAGATGATAAATTATTGTGTTTTCAACTTTATTTAACTTGAAATTAAATATTGAAAATTGCCTTAAAAGTGTTTGAAAATGAAATGTATCAAAATATTATGTATTATTATTGGCTTTTAAGGCAATTTATTAAGTATAAGTTAAAATAACTTTTTATCAGTTTATCGATAATATTTCCTTCAATTAATTTTATAAGTAATATTTGATTTTTTATATTAATATTATTTTATTGTATGATTATAGAGCTCTATTCCAAAAAAACGATGTAGCGGATTATGAAGCAACAGCATTTTCAATTTTCTACAACAATGCATTATTTTTGGTCATTGTAGTTTTGCTCAGCTTCTATCTTCTTAAGGGATTCTCAACTACAGCGTATCCTTTTAAAATATACTTAATGTTTGAAATACTTAAACTTAAATTGTATTGTGCAAGTTAAGATCATGACCAGTATTTTTCATGTGCAGCCTGCTTGGTTCTCTAAATTTCCATCCACTAATTTTATAGCAAGTAGTGATAGTTGTTTAGTCTGTGTGACTGGTTATGGTCTTAATTTTTGCAGAGTTTAGAAATGGCGATGTCCAAAAATGTATACAATTTTTGGTATCATAATGAATATCATAAATTATTATTATCATATCTTGTTTATATGCTTGCATTTTTACCAAAAAAAAATAGGAATATATATTTACTTTTTTATATATTTAAAATTTGAGATACAACTGTATTCTGGAACAAAATAATCTAAATTGTTATTGAAATATCTATTTCATTCATTTTATCTTTTTTCTTAAAAAAAACAGTTTTTTTACTTAGAAAGTTAAACATTCCTTTGTTCTATACATTTTTACACCTTGTAATTCAAGAGAGAAAATAACTTTTACATGTTAATTAAACCTCATAAAAACATAATTTATAACTCATCCAAACATTTGAATAACATTGTTTTTGATTTGTATAAAATAAATTACCTTAACTCAAATATTTATAGGAATTACATATTTTCTGTTGGAATTGCAAGTGGATTAATTGCCTTGTTTTCAACCGGAACTCAGTAAACATTCTTTGTGACCTGCCACCTCGACATCGCAGAATCTAAGTTCTATGTACTCAGGAAGTTATACAGTAAGAAGTATATGGGCTTAAAAAAAATTGTGTATACAATTTAAATAAATAATATATTAGATCCTATTGTAAAAAAATGTATCATTTTTTTTTTCTATTGTTTGAAAAAGTTTTTTACTTGAAACATCTATTGCAAGTGTTGATTCACTAACAATAATATAATAGTTTATATTTGTTCATTTTTATTTTTTTTTAAATTAATATGCATTAAAATAAAAAATATAAAACTAATAGTTTATTATATCTATATTATATTTTAGTTATTCATTTGTATCTATCAACAGTTCTTCCTTTAAATTCCTTTAAAATGTGATCAATGCTATTAGAATAGTTAAATTTAAATTATCATATTATAATATTATTGATTTTTAAAATATCACAAAACATTTTTCTACAGTGACGTACATTGATTGAGATTTTGACAATCATGTGTAATTCAATGTTAAAATGATGTGGAGTCCCTTATGCATAAAACACTTAGTATTTGGAGTTTTAAAAAATCTTATTAAAATGCTTGGTAATGAATTAGTAGTTTAAACTCTTGATATTAGTTAATCAGCTAGAAGTTCTAAACATTGATATGTTCAAAATAGTTATGAGAATAAATTAATTACTGGTATTAATCAAATTTGATCTTTTGTTGGGTTTTTAATAAAAATGTGCAATTAGTTGTAAAAAGTTTTAGTGTGAAATATTCTAACCTATTCAAAACTGTAATTAGGTAATATTAGTATTTATTAATTACTATGTTCATATATCAATATGTTGCATTTTTTAGATTCTGAACGGAGTGATGAGTGTATTGATTTTACAGTGATGTGTGTTTTTCTAAATCGTTAGTCACAATTTTTTTTTATAAATGTTTATAGTTCAAATATTTACGAAATCTATCGAAAACACGAAAATTTGTAAGTAATTTTGAAGTTGAAAAATCATAAAATTTTTTGTGTTTATAACTAAGGGTTAAAAATACTACACTTATGTTTTCTCTAAGTTTTCCTTCAAGTAGCTATAGTAAAAACTCGAAGCATCATTATAGGAACAATTTTAAGTGTGTTTGAATTTTAAATTTTTACAAAATAGTGTAACGATAATGATTTATCCTCGAACAATTTTAAATATTTGTTAATATTCAAAAAGTATTAGTCGTAGATACTTGAAAATTTTACCAGTTATTTAGATTGTCAATTTCTTAACCATGACTTTTGCAAATGTGTCCTAATTAAAAAATAAAATATTTGTTTCAAAATAGAATATATGAGAATATTTAAATATAATATATCCTAGACTGAAAAATCATCTTCGTTCAAAATCGTTTTTCGTATACAATGATACCTATCATTGCATTCAAATTTAATCTACCCTAGTCCGAGGTTCACCCCACCCCTTAATCTACAGCAGAGCCCGCTTTTTTTTTTTAATGCTTAATTTTATGTTTTTCAAGTGTAAAATATGTTTCAAGTACACTGTATTCTAAAAATATAATTTTATTGGAAAATTTAATGCATTATTTAACATTTTAAAAATTAAAATACAAGTAGCATGAATTTTTTTAATAATTAATTATGTACAAAAATAAAATAGAAAAAGTCAAATTTGTCATGTCACACTGACAGATTAGTCATGTATGTACTTATATACAATTTTCACTAACATATTTTATTAGTTTTTGTATTTTTAAAAAAAGAATATTTAATTGTTACATTCACTTTTTAAATTTTTTTAGCGAATTTAAGTGTGAACTTTTCTCATATTTCTTAAAAGTTTCTTTTTAAGTTAGCTTTAAGTATAATTTAAATGACCATATTTTTTAAAATTTAATTAATTTTCAATGAAATTGATATCCCCAACATCTTCATTTAGTATTAATAATAAAATCTATTTTAAACTAATATTAAAAATAAATTTAAATTAGTTTTATGTCAGGTCTTTAAAATATGTTTTTTTTGTATGTCTGTATTTTTATGGGTTAATTTAATGCAACTAATTAAGTTAGGTACCTACTAATCTGCTTTAGTCATTTTCAAAATATGTAAAATAGTATTGATACACTTATTATGAGTGCATTAGGTAAATCATAACATACTAGCTAAATAACCTAGCTTCGCTCATGTAAAGTTTTTTGTGTTACCGACGTATAACTTTTTATTTTATCAGTTTTTGTATTATAGGTTGCTTTTAGATGTGTAGAGTATAGACCCTAGTTTGCCCGTTTATTGTAACAACCAGAAATTGGCAAAAATGTACTAACCATGGTGCATATTTAAAATTAATATGAAAAATATGAAAATAATTTTTAAATTTATAATAATTATATTTATAATTTATAATTTTTTCATTTTTAACCCTTTTAACTTCTGTAGGGGTTGAATTTTTAAAAATCCTTTCTTAGTAAGTGTCTACATCACAAAAAAAACTACTATCTAAATTTCTTACTCATAGCTTCAGTGGTTCCGGTTAAGCAATGATGAATCACTCAGGACAAGTCATTATATATACATATATAAATTTATGTATAATATTAATATATTCACTCACGTGTACACACTACATAGTGAAAACGAGTATTTAAATTAATGTACCTGGTTATTATAAAAAATTTATTTTAAATTGTTTATCAACGGTATAGTTATTAAATGTTCTTTATGTACAGATAGTGTAATGTAGTGTAGTTAAATATTGTGATTTGGACATGGGAAACCTTTGACCAACAATAATTTAATAAACATCATGGTGTTCGTAAAGTAGCTAAGCATGACTTGTCAAGAGAAGATTTGATCGATTTGGATGGCATGGCGTGAGGTGTTTGACGTTTAGTGAACCACTAAGTGAGCCTATTAACGGTTGAATTTTGAAATCATTTTTTAGTTGACGTTGGTATGTCGACTACATCGTCGTCTAATAACAAACATGTAATCGCTAAATATAATAGTGTGATATGCTAATATTACCAATAAACTTGGTAATCCAAAAACCTGTGAAGTTTTTATCGAAAATCAATAACGAAGAGTGCGCGTAGTAGAACACAATTTCCCGGGTGTTCGAGTATTCAAAACGTGAAAGCTGGATGACATAGAATCGACACTTTGCTATAAATTATAGTTTCGTCAGAGTTGGTAGCGTTGGTAGCGTTGGTTCGCATTATCAGACCGATTTCGAACAATGATCTCTGCGGTCAAAGGACGTGTGATACTGTGATAAAGTGTAAATACGACAAATACAACAAAATACTAATACTAAAATATTATAATTTATTGTCCATTTAGCGTAATTTATTTGCTAGTCGTGTAAAACCCCGGCTACTATAAATCTCGCCTGCCAAAAGTCCAAGTTCACGATGTACGGTTATCGGAATTAGTGTGTTCGATGGAATTCAAAGGTGCGCGTTTCATCGGGATTTGTGCCGACGGAATTGGTCATGAACGACGAACAAGTTGGCTTTAACTTGGATGATCTTAGAAAGCTTTGCAAGTCGTACATTGACTACACGCGTACATACATGGATCGCAAACAGATCAGGCGAATCAACAAGCAGCGTTCCACATTGGACAATTTCGTGTTCCAGTTCTCATCGGAAGTAGTGGACTTTAGCTCTCAGTATGGCAGCGACATTAGCATATCTTACACGGCCAGCAATGTCACCGGCAGACCGAGCAAGTTTCCAAACTATGGAGACTTTCCACAGTCTTATGTTATGGTGAGTTTTTTTTAATCCAATTTCTTCTAGTACCTGTGCACTTATCGTTCACTTCGCTGAAGGATTGTATCACTCCCATGACCTACAAGCCTACAAATTATTAGACAAATGTTACATTTTAATGAATGTTTACGATCTTAAATTGTTTTATGTAGTCCATAATAGGTATTTAATTTTTTATTGCTATGACTATCTAAGCTTGTCAAATATTATATTAGTTTAAACGGTTTTAAAAAGTGTTTTTGTGTATTAAGCTGTTTACTTAGCTGTAATAAATTATTTTACTTTCTTTAAAATTTTAAAAACTGTAATTAATAATATGCTCTTGTATGTTTATTATTCTTCACATTTTATTTTAAATATATGCAATATACGTAAGATTATAAAAGTATTATTAACTAAGCTATTATGTTCAAATATTTTTCCAACCTTCAATTTTTTTTTTAATTCAATTATTCAAAGGATTATTATTTTGTTTAAGGTCAAATAGTTTAAAATGAGTTTTTGTTTTTATTTTTATTTATAATTTTGTATTTATTTTTTTTTTTACGCAGAGGAGTTATGGACCATGGAGAGAACTTGCACCATCACGAAAATGTCCAATTATGCCACAAAATGCAGGAAGAATAAGAAGCGAAGATTATATAAGTAAGATAAAGTAAAAATAAAACAAATTAATTATTAATATTTTTATTATATGTATTACAGTATTATCATTTGAAACACCAGTCATTCCTTTGGTAATTTCCATATTTGAAACGTTTACTCCTGGGTCTGTAGTACGAATATCAGGCAAAGTTGTTGACCTTCCTGAAACGATGGCATGGAGATTATTATGGGAAGGATTGCCTCAGAACTGTAATGGCTTGAGACATTCTCGATTATTTGCTCCAAAATTAAATTACATAAAGGAACTGGTCAAGTAAGCCAAAATATTACTTAACTATAAACTTCTTTGATTGATACTAATGTTATTATATTTCTTACAGAGAAATATGTATAGAGTTTAATCATTCCCAATTGGATTACTACACCGAATTAGATGCTGTATCTATGGGTGGTATTTTGAAGTATCCAGAAAGTGGAGAACTAGACATTATTTCTATACCTATGGTTACTCATACATCCTTAGGATATGTTTATGATAATAACGAAGAACAGAACCAGGAAATATTGTCAGATATTAGAGTGCCATCAATGGCTTCAAATGTAAGTGATTTTCAATATATATATATATATATATTTTTTAAATTTTAATTATTTTGGTATATTCATTTTTTAGTTAACTATGTCGACTAGTCTAGATCCATTTTTGAAACTTATCAAGAACATTGAAGAACTTGAAAACGAGTGGCGTAAAGTACCCAACATTGATTACACATTGCGATTGCCGGTACACTTTTTTAGAATTAATTTATAGTACATTATTACTATTAAAATCATTATCCCATCCTAAAATTGTATTTATGTAAATATAGAATGAATCATTGATGCAAATATTTTCATATTTGGATTTAAAATCATTGCGACTTTGTATGAGGGTGTGCAAGCGCTTCTATAACATTTGTACCGATGGATATTTCTATAGAGAATTAAATTTAAAAGTTAGTACAAATGTTTAAAAATTATATACTTGAAGAAAAATAAATTAATACAATATATTTTTTAGCCCTATTGGTGTTCATTTTCCTATTCAATGCTCATTTCATTAGAGCCATACTGTAACCAAATGACAAAGTTGGATTTATCTTGGTGTGGTATTACAAAAGGGATACTCAGCACAGCATTTAACTTGTATGTCATTTATGCTAAACAATATAATGATAACCATTTGTTTTAAATTATTTATTGAATGTTTAGATTTATAAAGAAATGTGGTACTAATTTAACTCATTTACGACTAGACTGTTGTGGATTTGTCAACGATACCACATTAATCGCAATAAATTTATTTTGCAAATGTATAAAAGGTAAAGTTATTTTCGTTGCAATATTTGTACCTAATAAAATATTTATGCAACTTATGGTTATTTAGAATTGAGTTTGAGAAGTTGCACTTCAATCGATTTTGAGCTGATATGTCCACCACAGAGTTTCCCAAAAATGGAACGTATAGATTTTTATAGAACAAATATTACCACAGAGTGTTTAATTTTTTATATAACGTGTATGCCCAAGTTGAAGCACATCAATTTAGGTAAATAGTTAACTTTTATATTATATAATTTTACTTATTGTGATGATTGTACTAATTTTTTTGTTTGTTTTATCATTGAATAGGTTCGTGTAAACGAATTGATTGTATGGACCATGTTGCGCATGCTTTGTCAGTATCAAACAAGCAACTAGTGTCTGTTGACTTTTGGAAAAGTTATACACTGTCTCCTACTGGATTACGTTTTTTAACTGCTCTTAAACAACTCGAAGAAATTGATCTCGGATGGTGGTTAGAATACATTTAAAAAAAAATCATATTACCACAAATTTTGATTCAACTAATATTATTTGTATGTTTTCAGTTTAGCTTTGAGTATTCCAGGTGATAGTCTCTTGGACTTGGTCAAATCTTGTCCAAGATTGAAAAAAATCATTGTTGTGTCATTACGTGGTGTTTGCGACCGCGATCTACTAGCGTTTGCTGATTATTGTCCATTGCTGGAACAAATCGATTTGGTTGGCCTCAGAGCAATTACAGTTGACGCTTGCTCCAAGTTCCTACAGAAATGTAAAAACCTTAAGTTAATGGATGTAAATTTTTGTGAGAACATCAAAGAAGGAGATGTACAAGTTTGGCGATCAAAATATCCCAATGTATGCATTCAATTTACTACTTCTGACCATTCAAATGTATATCATTACTAGATTATTACAGTAAGTTATATCTTTATTTTTTTACATTTGTTTTTCAAACTTTTTAATAAATTGTAAATGCATGTTATCAAAAACTGTAAGTTCCTCAAAATACAGTTTTGTTGAGCATTGAAAAATACATTTAATAATTGATGTTAAGAAATATGATAAAATTTATAATCAAATTATTGTTCTATTATAAAAATTAAAAATGTACATGTATACATTTATTTATATTGAGAATGATCATTGATTGTGTAATCATTTTTACGAATACTATGAAAAAATAGATAATATAGAAAAAAGTTTAATCATTATTATACTTAAACTCAAAGTAATATTATTATTTGTTAATGTTTTTAAATTTTAAAAGACTAAGTAAAATAAATATGATTGATTAATATTAAATGCAATTTAATTTTTTCATAATTATTTCTTTTTTGTTGTTTAATTTGTAAATTTTCATTGATTGCATGTTTTATTAATAGGTGATTATATTTTTAATTTAAAATTCACACTAAAAATGTATTGTAACTATTACCTAATATTATACAATCATACTTTTTATTGATGCTTACTCAAATAGTTATTATTTTGTTTAATTAAATGTTTTATAATTGGAGCTAATTGAATTAGGTACACTGTTTAGTTTATTATATAACTATTACGTATTAACTTAACCGTTAATTGTAATTCAGAAAACATTTATATTTAATATCATAATTCACAATATATTATGTAAAAGCAAAAACATAGAAAACGTGCTCAACAACATTAAATAAATTTAATAAATACACATTAGTTATAAATTTTGTATAATAATTCAACAATGTGCAATCAGTAACTTAATCGTTTTGCATTACATGTAGTAATAATAATAGTAGTAGTAATAATAGTAATAATAATAAAAAAAAAAATCATCAAACAAACAAAATATATACTCTTAAAACAATCATAGCAACTATTAAAGAAAGTCAGATTGAATATCATACAATTGACTTTATTTTAGTATACCAAATACTAGTACCGTATTTTAATTCGAATGGGAGGAAACTTTTATATACATAATTCTAGTGTATTTATCTAATAAGAAAAACATGAGATTTTGAGTGGAATGAACCGTCACAGGAATTCGTTGTGGCTACGGCCCTAAGTCACTCTGATACTTAAATATAAATAATAAAATGTAAAAAATTAAGTTACCTAAGTACCAAGTTATAAATTATAGAAATTAAGTTTCAGAAATTAGAATATTTTTTACTGATGAATGCACAATAATGACATGACACCTAACTTTTTCATTAATTTGTTTAAATTAAATTAAAACTACATTACATTATTTTTATTTCTAAAATGTTTTGTAGAACAATATATACACAACCGTAAGCGACCATAATCTATGTAAATATATTAATGTATCTAGTTTTCCTTAGTCTCTGGACTTATCTTTTCATTTCAAGTAGTGTATTGCCTTTGATGGATTTTACAAACATATCGTGTGTTGTACGCATTTATGGCAGTGATGAATTCCCAGGATCGTTGAAAATATTATTGCGTGTGTGTTACTTCCTCGTCGTTCTGACCAGAAGTGATAAGAACGCCATGAACCGAAAAACGATGATCAGTATAAATAATGAAGCTATGTCCATGGTGATGTTTGACTGGGGAAAAAACAAAAACAAAATAAGAATAGATTAGATGCGTTTAAAATTAAAACACGGTACATAATAAAATAGGATTGTAGCTAAAGATCTCAGGAGAAAATAATTATTCGCTGCCAGCTGACATTCGTCGTTGTTATATTTGCATTTAATTCGAAACCAATAATAATCAAAGACGTTGTTGTCTGTTTACCTCTAGAAAATTGTTCGACTCCAAGACGGCATGACCGGAACGCGGGCACGTTGTGTTCGCTCTGTTGCAATTGATGACGTCGATGTCTGCCCACTGGTTGACTTGCAGCCCTTCGTTGGCGTACTTGAACCACGAAAAGACGCTCAGCCATCGGAAATAATACGGAATTGATCTTGAAAACAAATAATTTTAATATATTATTATACTTAGCGATAACTATTATTACTTATTTATATACCTATATATATATCATAAGAATGCTGTCATAATATTATTTATTTATATTCGATATGAATGCGTTGTACAAAATTATTAATTATTTATACTAATTATTTTATTGTAATAAGTATTACGATTTTGCATTATATACGTGAGTGATAATTAAATAATACACTGTGTTTTGTATATACTGCAACTTACCCGACGTTCAAAAAATAACCTCCAAACAGCAGGAAAGGTATGACGAACGTGGGCCCCACAGAAAGAGCGATCGATATAGAACCGCTGGCACATGATACAAAGTAACCTGAAAAAATCATACGAATCATGTATTAGTACGGGTGAGTGTAATTATATTATTTAATTTTAAGGGCTTTGGAGTTGGATATTTTATTTGTGGGGGTTGAAATCAGACAATTTTTATAGTTACGGCGTGCTGTGACTGTACAAAAATAAATAAACAGATTAATAACTGTCGAAATCCATATCACAGGCAAAATAAACGGAAAATTATTGTAGTTAAATTTCACAGAGTACTTGGATTGTAATTATTTTTTAATTAGAATGAAGAAAACTTTATTCAAGTCGCGTTGGACTCTTATTTTTGAATTAACTAATGCGAGAAAATATAATTGATTATTTGGACGTGTATAGTTGTATGACAAATTCTGAAGATTGCGTTTGTTTTTTTTAAATCGAAGTTCAATGCCGACCTGTATTAAATGTCTATAATTATATGTTAATAGTAATATTGTGATTGAACAAATAAAAAACAAAACATCGCAGATTGGACTATTTACTGTTCATAAATGGCCATTATTTAATAAATTTATAAATATATTTTATCCAATGTTGTTGGTTTGTATCATTGGATACTAATTTCGTAATTATTATTACTGCACAACAACCGAAAGTACGACATACCTATACTTGAATGTCGTTAAAATTGCCTGTTTAAAACCCCTTAAAAACGGTCATATGATGATGTCCGCTGACTGAAACCAATTGAGCGACATGATGATATAGTATTTACGTAGATTTACGGGTATTCAGGTGATTCACTTACCAAACGAGACGGCCACCAGACTGACGAGCGTTATGAAAAGGATGGCCGTGAGGAAGTGTATGAACTTTGGGTTTAGACCCACAATGTAGTACATGATTGACGTGAACATTATGGGTATGATTAAGAATATCGGTACCTCGGCGAGGGTTTTGCTCAAGAAGTACACGTCCGTTCGGTACATGCCGCTGTGATGTTCGCGCATGAATACCGGAAGCTCGGAACAGAATACCTGTAATAGTGGAAATAATCTTTTAATAATATATCATAATATGATGGCAGAAATGTTTGTTGTCTTGTAATATATTTATATGTAATGTTTTATGAACCCCTGCCGCCTAGCAGTTGGTAGAAGTTTTTTGATAATTTATATGAACATATAGAAATGCTCTTCTTGTATGCTTATTATAAATTAAACTTTGTACTTAACGGTTAATTCAAAGGTGTCAAGACCTTGTTAAATAATATTAATACAATTACGTAGGTATGTACACTAAATTATGATTTGTGGCTACAAAACCATTAATAAATTGTAATCGGTAATTGGTATATTGATTAAAGTTTATTTAGTGTATTGTGTATAATATATCGATTGATAAACGGAGTATTTTAAACAATGTGGTTAGAAAATATATATATTTATTTGTTAATATTAAGACTATGAACATTTTTTACTGTTATCGCCTCGAGTATGCTGTAAGCTATAATATAAAAATAATAATTGTAATTATTAAGTTCCGAACGTTAAATGTTAACAGATTACTAATAAATTTGTTAATATTATACATAAAATAAAATATAATAATCTCATACACACAAAACATATAATAAATAGCAATAACAATAACTTAAATAATTAACACAAGTAATATTATTGATCAAGTCCAAAACTAGTAGTTACAATTTTTATTTTTATATTATACTATTCAAGGCTGTTAACTAAAATATATTTTTTATTTATTATTAAAAAAATATATCAATTATTATCATGTAAGCTCTGAATTTAGTAGACGCTATAACCTAACCTAACCAATTGACAAAAAAGTTAACAAGTTAACTCAATTTTTTTTGAAGAGTTTTGTTGCTACCTTAGGGAGGCTATAATCTTTCCAAACACACATCACTGTCTCTCTCCTTACCAGAGTTACGGGCATCACTAGGGCCGGTATATAGGTGTATACTCACGTTAATAACGGCCAACACGTTCTGGAACGTCATGTTAGATATACACATGAACAGCGCTCCGTTAATGTTCATTACGCCGTCTTGGTCCAGGTGCTGGTTGTAGAATATGAAACTTATCAAAGCGGCTACTAACTAAAATAATAAACACGATTATGGTTTAGATCGGGTTGGTCACCGCCGCGATTTTACAGGTTTACCAATGTTTGGATGATCCTAATTTTGGTGAGTGCTGGTTCCTTTTTGATACTGAGCCATGACCGCCAGAAGACTGCCGAAAACTGTTCCATCCACGATGCTTTGTACGGCGACGAGACGTTCTCTAGACCACTCAAGCCCCAATAGTCTAACGAGCTCTGGAAAAATCGAAAATCCGACGTTAGCTATAGTTTATTCGAGTTGGAGCCGGGTGTATACGGGTCGATGGTTATGTCGTATTGTAGCAGGCACCCACGATCACATCTCTCAGTAACGCAAGTGACGGTCGTCGTAAAATTTATGAACAAAAATTGAAAAATATATATCGCTGCTGAGAAGGACTACTACTTACACGAATGTGATAAATTATTATATAAAATTTGTTTTACACAGAATTACAGGAAATCCACATTTTTAGCGAGAGTCCCATATGACGAACCGACGATAAATCATAAAACTCGCTAGCGAAATAGGTTATTGATTATACGTACTTGGGAACTGTCGGTTGTGTCTACAATATGTTTATACACACTTATGCAGTCGAGTTTCGTCAATCATCCTATGCACGTATACACACTTACTTTGCTGGCGGCGAACAACTGTTTTTGGTGTTCAATCATGTCATTCTTGTAGCTCGAGTTCTCGTAGGCCTCACAAACAGTGTCGATAGTTTCGAATGAGCACATTTCTTGGGATGGTACGATGGCCAGCAGTTGAATGAAAAAATCCGCCGGGTTGTGGTTCTTCGGGCAGCTGACGCCGAGCCTGTGTACGGAATTGAAAACAGAATATAATATGTTGTGTACAAAGATGGGTAAGAAAATGACAATAAAAATGATCAAAACTTGAATTAGTTAAGCCAATATGAGAACGTAAAGCTAACGCTATAATTTAATCGTTAACGCATTCAGCATTTAAAGCCGAGGGGAAATAATGTGTTGAGTCTAACTACACTCAATTAAAATAAACAATTTTAAACATTTTAATCCGTAATGTTTTGATTTAATATTTTCTTCTTATTTTATATTAAACATGGGTTATTAATTATTATTGATTATGGTTTTCTATTATCATAGTTAGGATTTTATTTTCTAGTTAATTAAATATTTTTTTCCCAACACAGGGCTCCGGTTAATTATTTTTTTAATTTTTTTTTTTAACGATAGTAATTAGTTTAAGTATACAATAGTGATAAATTATATTTTAATCAATCTCGTCATAACAGTATATAAAAAACATTATATCTCGCTAACTATAGCATACCAGGTATAACCAAGGCCATCATACCTTAATTATTCTTGTATCTAAAAACCCCTTAGATAGAGCCAAGTCTAAGAACATCTTATTTTATTAAAATAAAAAATAAAACACCTATCCACCCACTCAAATTTTTTTATGAGTTAAAATACAATTGAACCGGATAGAAATAGTTCAGCCCACTAGGCGGTATATATGTCCATAATTAAGTTTTTTAAAGGTTATATCATAAAAATTTGAACTTTTTTATTCAGATCCATAGTATTTGGTTATTAGAAAAAAATATTTTCAGTAAAAATATAGACATCAATTTTGCAGAAAAGAACTATAAAAATAAATATTAACACCTATGTATTTCAGTATTGTATTGTTAATATTTAAATCGATTTGTGGTATTTGTTTTATTTCAAATCTAAAAGTACCTACTTGTTATTGAGAAGTACAAAATGTTTAGGTATTAAAAATGTGTTAGGATAAAAACATTTTGAGAGTCACTGCTATATAAAATTACGTTTTTTTTTTTTACTTATTATCTAACTAACTATTATTATTGTTTTATCAAGAAACGCTTATGAATTATTTGTTGGCTTAATTTAATTTTAAATCGTGTAAGTACATACATGTAAATTTTATTACGTGTGCAAAAAATACGAAATAAATTTTAAAATTTAATGGAAAAAGCAAAGTTATCAGGTAAATTGGTTGATTAAAAAATTTACCAACTATATTGAAGTTTAAAAGTTTAAATAAGTTATCATTTTAATTAGTTTAGTAGTTTAATTTTGGATTTTTTCATGTAATTTTGGTGGTTAATAATTGGAGTGACGGAAGCAATAATTGATACACCGAGTAAAATTATCTTCAGGCTTATCGCTTTTATTATACATACAATTAAATATATTATAGAGAGATTAGGGAAACCGAAATGATGATTATGAATATAATAATCAAACATAAATCATATGGTTAGTGGTTTACATCGTTAGGAATTATATAATATACAATTTATTATATATATTACTGGGGGAGAGGGTATTTAGGCCTATCTAATCTAAATATATTTAGAGTCTATCTACAGTTCAATAAGAGTGTCTTGGAGGACCTTTTGATAAGATTCAATGTTCGTAAGTCAAGTATTATGGAAAGGTAGTAAGACATAAGTACTTATGACTATTTTTTATTTTATTTTTGCAACTATTTTGTACTTTAGACTCATGTGTTATTGTGTTAGATGTTACAAGAGGTGGATAATGGATATTACGTTTTGAAAAATTCTATGGCATCGTTGGTAGAACCCAGGAAAGCTGTTCGGCCATTGGCCAGCAATAATATTTTGTCGAACATGGAGTAAACCTCAGAGGACGGCTGGTGAATGGTGCAAATGATTGTTTTGCCTTTGGACGCCATTGACTTGAGCACGCTAACCACGTTTTGAGCCATGTACGAGTCCAGTCCCGAAGTCGGTTCGTCGCAGAACATCAGCGGAGGGTCTGTTAACACCTGTTGAAAGCATTCAAAAAACAAACAATATGTAAAACAATTCACATTGTCGAGCTTTATAATATCAATATATTTATGAATTTACAATTATAAATTAAACATTATGTTTATAGAAGAAAAACACAAATCGTAAAATCGTAATAGTCGTATAAATTTTATTAAATTCTGGTGAAGTGATAAATTTTAAAACTTAAGTACTTGCGTTATTTATCAATAATTAATCAATATCTTACCTCGGAAGCAAACGACAAACGTTTCATTTCACCACCGGATAAACCTTTTATTCTGCCGATCACACCGATGATAGTGTTTTGACATTTACTTAATGACAACTAAATTGAAGAAAAATACAAAGCATCATTTTATTATTATGGGTGTAACCACTTTATATACAAACATGATTGAAACTCACTTCTTGTATAACATCTTCAACTCGAGCCATTCGTTTTTCGTATGGTATGTCTCGGTCCATTCGCACCATTGCCTGTCATAAAAATTAAAATTTAGCGTAACAAATAGTGCTAAAGAGCTCAGATACTAATCTCGTGTAAGTAAATCATTATAGGTGCCTAGCAAGTATTTGTGCATTTTTTTTAAATGTATTTCCTTATAATTAAACCTCAAAATAAAACAATCATATAAACTGCTGCTGTGTATAGCGTATATCAACTCGCTCAAATAAATTACATAATATTAACTAGTTATGAAGAGTTTTAAATGTTCTAATGAATAACGTCACTACTCACTCATACAATCGTCTCATATTGTTATATATGTTATTATTATTACAAATTCTTGGTTCATAATGTTTATTTGTAGTGTGGTACTGGTATTAATTGTGTGTCCAATTACTGGGATGCCAGAATTGGTTTTGTTCGAAAGGGAATTAGGAATGTTTGCAGAAATGTATTGCCTAACCTAACAAAATCCATAGTAGCCAGCGATAAACGTGGGTCGTAGACTGATAACGGATTGTAGTCATCGAGTTGGTTATAGTTGCGGAGGCCGATCTCCATTTCTGCGCTATGGTTACAACGAGAATTGATAATAAACTGGACCGGTAAGATCACCACGTGGAAGTGTTGAACCAGACGCTATCGCAGAAAATGTTATACCATATATCAGGGGTCGGCAACCTTTTTAACAACACGGGCCATTTTTTTTTTTCAATTGTTCATCAAGGGCCACATTAAAAAAAAAAATTACATATTATGATATAATACTTATAATTGTATTGCTATTATGAAACGGTTAGATTAGATTTAATTTATAAAGGAAAAAGAATTATATAATATTGAAAATTATATGAAAAATGTTATTGAACAAAAGTGTCAAAAGTAAAACACAAAAATTAACCACCTTTGTGCGGGCCATCAAAAATTGCTCTGCGGGCCGCGGGTTGCCGACCCCTACCATATATGAACAGGTCATCTTTATACTTAATATATGCAGTATGCACGGTATGTTGATATAAAAAGAATCTCTACTATACTACAGTCATCATACTGGTTATATGTTGTCGTGGGTACGAGTTAACAGCTATGTCGTTTGACATGTAGACGTTTAGTGTTTCTTCTATCATATATTAATTGGCCATTGAAATAATGGTATTCATAATTCATGACCTTCTGGAAAAATTTTAATTGGGCTGAGCAACAACACGAAATACGATGGAGTTGTGAATCCGGTTAAATAAAAAAGAAAACCATTTTACTAATTCGATATCTGCCAAATTGTTAATTCAATAACTTTCAATAGTATTTATTTTACTATTATTATTGGAATAACTACAATGACATTTGTTATAATGTGTTTTAAAGTTATTATTTTATATAATTATTATTATTTAATATTATTAGTGGTGAGGATCTACATTGTAAATAATCACTTTGGTAATAATTAATAGCTTTACGATTACACTTAAGTACAATGCATGCCCTACAGTCTACACGTCGTGTCTATAATATTATTTATGGACGCTACAGGAACGAGTCCTTATTGCTTAACACCCATATTCCTAGTTTTTCTTACCTGGAATATTAAGTGCTCTCGGACTGTGAGCGTACCTATGAACAGGTCGTTTTGTTGGACGTATGCGGAAACGGCCGTTAATAATTTACTGTTGACCGGTATGCCGTTAATGGATCTAACTCCAGATTCCATCACGTTTCGGTTGCTCCTAAATGTTAGTGAGTTCAATAAGGTCGTTTTACCGGCGCCACTGGATCCCATCAGCGCCAGTAGTTCGCCAGGTCGCGCCGAACCACTCACTGCAATCGTACATCAATATGTTATAATTTATATGGTACAGAAATAAGTTAATAATACAATTAATAATGATAACAAAATAATATGGATTTTGAAGTTAAACTTCTTTACGCAGGGTAGTGAGGAAAAAAAAAGCGAACGGGCGGCCGTACGAACGCAAACACGGACATGTCGTTGTGCGCAGCCGCGGATTGTCGTAGCTGTATTTTGTAAACGGCTATGGGTTGTGTCATTAAGCGACAGTATTTTTGGCTGGGTTATTAAACAAAGAATACTCAACAATAATATTAATGAGATAAATATTTAGATAAAAACGGAATGATCGTCCGAGATGATTTCATACGGTCGTCGGGGCGGCGGTGCGAAGCGTATCAGTACGTCATATACATAATATTACATAATAATAATAATATTACGTATTATAAATTATAATGTTGGATGGACGGTGACAGCTGATGCGGTTTCGACGACGATGATAATAATAATACCATACACGCGCAGTTGCGACTTGCGATTAAAGGTCCAGGTCGTGCGGCGAGCCAGTTTTTCGATTGGTGGGTGGGTTGAAGTGGCGGTGGCGGCGGCGGCCCGTGGTGGCCAAGTTGTACACGTATCCAGTCAGTGTGCTTTTAGCCATTGTTATTAATATAATAAATAATAATATTGTTATTAAGTAATAAGTAGTTCCTATTTTAAATTTTAATGGTTACTTCGATTTTTGTACGTACTACGTACGACTGGATTTAGTAAAAATAGTAGGTATTTTTATTTTACCTAATGATTATAATTTACAATATAATTAATATTACCGAAATAATAATCTCGAGTTCGAACTATAATATTTGAAAAGGTGAATCGTTTAGAGTAAGGAGATGTTTGATCACTTCCATCAGAAGTATTTATATAATATAAATTATATAAATATATTTAATATAAAATATAAAAAATATAATTTACATTGTTTCTTTTCTTTCTTTATTATTCTCATTACCCCATTCTATCCATGCCTTACTTTCTTTTTCACTCACTCAGTGAGTACCGTTCAAAAGAAGTTTAACTTCCCGCGCGCGTACTGGTAACACACACGAGTTTTTTGGTTGCAGAATCCATATTTAATGAGAATGAGATATCCTTCCCGAACCACGCGTGCGCGCATAACTTTATAATGTTTGATTAGGAGTTCCCACGATAATATATGTCGACATTGGTCGACCATAAAACTGGTGTCGGTAGATCTGCGCGATCGCTGCAGTGAAGAATAGTTAATGTTATTACGCGTGAGTACCGGCTCGCTGTATAATTCGTACGTTAACACGACATAAAACCACGGTAATTAATCTGATCATTGACCGTTGACCATTGACCGTTGACGGTGTCGTCATGTATAAAAATGAGGGCGAATGTAAGTTCCTACACGAGAGTAGCAGGTAAAAAAAATACACACGTTAGTTCCTACACGGCGGAAAAAGGTACGTATGTAAGTTCCTACACGGTAAAAACCAGGTACCTATGTTAGTTCCTACATGGCGGAAAAAAGGTGTAAATATGTATATTCGATGTATATACGAATAAATACATATATGATGATAATACAATATAATAAAAATCGTATAATGCATTTTAATTTTAAAAATTGAATATAATATAATATAAAAAGTAAAAAATATAATAAAAATGAAAACTTATATTTTATGAGGTTTATTTCTATAACTTAATAATTTAACATAATCGTATTTATTTATTTTGCTTATTCTATAATCTGAAATTTTTTCATTTATAAAATCTTCTTTTTCGGCGTATTTTTTACTGATTTTTGGTTTTGGGTTATTAATTGTAGTTCTTATTTTTATATACGTATTTACTTGAAAGAGTTTGAGAATTTCAATAATTTTAAAAATATTTGGATGTTGGTGATAAAAATTAGAGTTAAAATCTGAATGAAAACTTTCACAAGCGTTTGTCGTATGGACTCTATCAGAACATTGCCGCGCCCACATTTTCGGAGGAAAGATTGATTCATTTGATATATAATTGTCTACCAAATAATCACAAAATTCGGTTATAGTTGCATTTTCAGGTTTGTCTGCCATAAAATATTCTGTAAAACATTCTGCCACTTCCTCTGGATTGAGAAAAGGAAGTCCAAAAATATGTACTAACCATTTTCCTACATCGTCATTTGCAGAATTAAATTGTGGTGCGTAACCTAAATTTTGAATTTTGCGGTACCAAGCTTGGCCCAAATGAAAACGACATCCAAACACCTCTGTTTCCGGAAAAATTTCAAAAACTGCTTGATGCATTGCTATTTCAAAATCTAAAATAATTTTTTTAGGTATTACTCCAGCTATTTTTATTGTTTTTAATAATGCAATGTAAGTCTTTTTTTCTTTATTTGGCAATAAACAAAACATTAACGGAATGTACACTCCATTTTTAATGCCATGAATCGTGTATAGTTGCGTATAATATTTATCACTATAGTTAAAAGTACCATCCATATATAAAACATCTAATTCTTTTAACAAATCTATATTTGTTTTACATGAAAAAATAACTATTTCATTTAGCGCGTCATTTTTATATAAAAATAACTCACCTCTATTTGTTTTTATGTCTAATAAACTTAATATTTCGTGAACTTCTTTTCTTGATGTTGGCAGTTTGGGGAAACAATGCATTCTTGCATTATGAATATTCCTTGCTATGAGTTTTAAGTCGGGTGCAATCAAATCTCCTTCATTAACATAATTTGATACTTCTTTTCGTATTATTTTTGACGGTTTTTCAACTATAGAGTCTACAGCTTTTTTTTTGCAAGCATTGCTTATTTGTTGCCGATTTAAAGTGCTATCACTTGCATGGCGGTGATCAAAACACGATTTATCTGTATTAATTAATTGGGCATTTTGACCCAAAGTATAAACTTTTGCACTACACTTATTTATTACACAACGCCACGTAATTTCATTTTTTTTAGATGTATGATGCTTAAAAAATTTAAAATTATTCAAAACTAGTAGTTGTTTGCCTTTTTCACTCAACATGAATGATACATTCTCGCTCATTGTGAATTTGTATAACTGTATATGATTAGTATAAACGGATATGTACGGACACTCAGATGTTTCGAACAATACTAACAAAACTTTTAAGAGAAATAACTAGATGTACATTTTACTGTGTATAGTTATAAGACTTATAACTAATTTTAAGATTATCAAATCAAAATCAAGTTCTGTATCATTTTTATCGATGATGAAAAGTCATAAATATTTTGTATGTCAAAAATATAGATAATAAGATATTTTATCTTTTTCCTTACGTCGAGTCGGTATAGGGGAAAATATTATCAGCTTGTAGCTTGTCGTATTTTCCAGTGATTTCGTATATACATTTATAAGTATTATTTATAAGTATATTTGAATGTAGTTACCTATATTAAATAGCTATACCAGCGTATAAAGTTTCAATAACAAATCTAATTATTATAATATGCTTATTTGTGAAAATGTGTTATGCGATTTGTATTATATAATATATAATCATCATATATTTATTCGTATATACATATTTACACATATATACACATATAGGTACACTTACATATGTACCTTTTTCCGCCGTGTAGGAACTAACATAGGTACCTGGTTTTTACCCTGTAGGAACTTACATATGCCCGTGTAGGAACTAACATATGTAATTGTTTACCTGCTACTCTCGTGTAGGAACTTACTATTCCCCAAAAATGAGTACCCCGAAAGTGTAAAGAAATGAATTCTTACCTGTCGACAAGCCCGGATTAAGG